CCCATGCGCGATTGTTCGTCCGAAACCGTTGCCAGATACCTTGTCGATTCTTGGGTATCCTATTTTGGTGTCCCTGAGAGCATCACTACAGATCGTGGGAGTCAGTTTACCTGTTCCTTGTTTCGTGAACTGAACCAGCTATTAGGATGCAACCATTTCAAAACTACAGCTTACAATCCTGCAGCCAACGGCTTAGTCGAACGTCTTCATCGACAACTGAAAGCCGCCATTATGGCTAAATCATCATCACAGCTGTGGACCGAATCGATACCAGTGATATTACTTGGCATTCGCAATACCGTGAAGGAGGATATTGGTTGCACTCCAGCCCAACTTGTCTATGGACAAACGCTACGTCTTCCCGGAGATATGGTATGTGTATCCACACCCAATGAAGACCTCTCACCATCGACATACGTCAGTCGACTGCAAGATCATATGCGTACTCTTCGCCCGTCTGACACTCGGAAATCCGGTCGACGCACACATTTGGATCCCGGTTTATCTTCTTGTACACATGTATTTGTCCGTGTTGACAGCGTCAAACGACCGTTGCAATATCCGTATGATGGTCCGTTTAAAGTCATTTCTCGCAAGGACAAGTACTTTGTGATTGAGAGGAACGGAAAACCGGACTCCGTCAGTATCGACAGACTCAAAGTTGCATTCATCGATGACGAGTCTCACTCAGATCCCCCTACTGTAGTCACTCTACCCACAAGTTCCCAAACCTCCAGTACAGCCATCCCAGGGAACCCCGAACATATAGCACGACGTATTGACGATCACCCGTTACCTATCCTGAAGCAAACACGTGTTGGTCGAACCTGCAAGACTCCTGTTCGCTTCGCAGACTACACCCCTTGAGTTTTGTCACATTATCGAGCGTCATTCCCTTTTATTATTCCTGACGCTCTAGGGGGGGAGTACTGTAGTGTCTGTAATCCGTTGTCACATTTACCATTCTTCCTGAACTTGAACCACACTTTGTAACTGTCGTTCACATTGTATCATGACGTTTGTTTTAATGTTACGAATACACAATTTTCCGGCGCGACCTGCTGACTTCTTGCTGAACGACTGTATTTACGCCCGTTGAACTGTTTGTTGACTGTTGAACCAGTGGGACTAAATCTCTGTGTTTGTGTCAACTGTTGAACGTCGCAATAAATCCGTGACATTTTTCAGCCGTGAATAATTTTCCTACCGTGGAATATATCACTCACGCTGAGCCATCTGTGGGAAATTTCGACAAGTGAATATTTCCTTTCACAGCCAGTTACTGCGTTGGGTTCGGTGTAGTGGACTATTGGATCTACACATTCGTGAGTCCCCATTTGACTACTCATTCTTTTCCTATTGTGATTTTGTGCTTTTGTATTGGTTACTTTGCTTGTTAATTTACCCGAACACGCTGATGGGGTCCTATTCCGCTACAAGCCGAATCCCTTCGACGGAATATGCCGTACCAGACCGCCTCGTAGTTCACTTGGTGTGATAATCGATGCATCGCGGCACATTGAAGACGACCATAATAGACAAGCAAACCAACTGGATTCAATGGAGTCTCCAGTCGAGGCGAACTTTGTATGCAAATGTGGGCTTTGGGCGAACTTTTTTATAGTTTACTGTGATTTCGAGATATCTTCAACTAAAAAATATGTAGAAGGAACATGACGTCTCGTAAACAGCGGGCCTTTAGTTACTCTCATGGCTTATGTTGTATTTATTTAAAGCGTATAATTTACAGCATATTCTCCTTTTTCCGATATACCTCGGGGCACTTTGGGCACACTTCGCAGAGTTCTCATAAACGTGAGAAATCTCACATTCAACCACATAAGTATTGAAATGAGGAAGTTCAAATACGGCGGAAGCTATTGTTTACACTTTCAAACATGCATGTCTGTTTTCAGCTTTCCGTTTAACGTTCCACATGAAACGGAATCCGGTTCACATGCACCGGAATTCGGTGCACATTCACCGGAACCCATGTACTTATAAAGGGCACCAAAATGGCAGCGAATTACAGAATAAGGTGTCTGTCAAAGAGGATGAAAATTTAGATTTTCTTACAGAAATAGCAATATAGCCGGACAAATACGCACAGGCAGGACATCCTACAAGCTTTTCAGCTATGTTTGTGAAACAGTAAAACCAGAAACAGAAATGTGCATTTGACAATTTGTCTTTGCTTGGACCAACTTTAGCATAGTTTTAAGGGTTTAATGGAATACCGGTTGCAGTGTTAGGTATAAACAGAATGGAACAGCTAAGGGCTTCCTTTTTGAGGGCTCATTGGCTTGGGATAATTTTAATGGCAGTCTGCGACTCACCAAATGATTGTGTGTATGTATCAGTCAGGTGATGAGATAGCGAACTTTTTGCTTTTGCCCGTGTTGTTTTGTTCAACATGATTTTAAACCACATAGAAGTTCAGTAGGGTTGAATTTGTGTTCAATCTGGGAAACCTATGAAAATGACCTTGCGTTTGCAACAATAAGATTAAGTGTGTTGGTTGTTGATCAGGTGGCTGTTGATCTGTCCGCCGGGCTTGGCAACTGGTTTGCAAACGTTTCGTCACCATACGAGGAGACATCATCAGTGAGTACCCGCCCGACTGCGCACTGATGATGTCTCCTCGTATGGTGACGAAACGTTTGCAAACCAGTTGCCAAGCTCGGCGGACAGATCAACAGCCACCTGATCAACAACCAACACACTTAATCTTATTGTTGCAAACGCAAGGTCATTTTCATAGTTGGCCACAACAGATCCTCAGAAGTTTGGCGAACTTATCAATTTTCCATGTTTCTTAAAACATAATGCTCTGATGTATCTGCCACCAAGTCCTTCCTTATCCCGTGTTCACCGCATTTAAATCGTTTCGGTTTAGGTATGACCGCGTCCGCGTCAGATATTACCCACCATTCGTGTGATTGCCCTATTTCCGCGCAGTTATGAGTACCCACAATTCCCATGAGTCACGTTTTTATTCTGAATATACCATTGTGATCATGCCTAACAGCATGCCATCAACCTACTGGGAATAAGAAGTGTCATTAACTAATATTTGCAGGTACCTCACCAAAGTGCCACCATTTCCAGTGCGAGCGTGTTCCAGGCGCATAGAGGACAGTGTCATTCCACTGATTTTGTATCGAAACTACATAGTACCAACCATTCTATTTTACCCTTTTTCACATGAACCCACCAACTCATCATGCAGCCGTTATACAGGTGAGGAGGAAGTATCGTTCAGCATAAGAAACACCATGTGCCAACTGGCGTAGAAAGTCCAACAATTTAACTTGGTTTGATGACTTCCGTGGCTTGGTCTACCTGCACGCCTGCTGCAACGATATGAAATCTTTTTCTACGCAACTTGCGAATGGCTGTTGGAGGTTGATTTTGCGCGGACAAAGACGAGCTTTTTATGGTTCAAATAATCTTCCAAAATATTTTCAAATCCGAAAAAGGAGAAAGCCCTTGGTGAAACAAACTTCCCCAAGTTCGAAGTGAATTGGTGTAGCCATATGTGAATATGATGGACCTGCGTTAGCTAGCTGGTGCGTCACTAAACTGAAAGTTGTGTATTCGTCTATGAAGCCGGATAGATTGGGCAGAAGTGTGAGCAGATGGAACCCAACACCGTGGTTCGAATGAATTTGTCTGTGTAGATGGTTCATGTGACCAAGTGGTTAACTGGCAGTCATTTGTAGGGGTGGGCGAATAAGGGAGGGGAACGTGCCGAGAATTGAGGATACCATTACACACAGTTAGTAAATCGGCTCAGAAACGTTTATGTACAAAGTGGCCGAGAAAGCCAAGGAGGAAGGCGAATTAACAGTTAGGGCTACGGAGTTCAGTAGCACAGTGACCGAGGAAATGAATGGTTATCTGATATTACATGCTGTGCAGTGGGGGTGCTTATTGATTTTAGACGTGGATGGGTCTAGAGAAATTAGCAGTACAAGGTATGCCCGGACAAGAGAATAGCGCAAAACGTCAGATGCACTGTCATGTTGTGTGTTTGGACGATGAAGTGATCCTAGCGTGATGCTGTTAGAGCGAATGGATGATACAGGCTATGTTGAGTGAATTGTGTCAGAGGTGAATCTGTGTTTGCTTACGCATGAGAGGTTAGATGATGTCTTGAATTCTTAAGAGGATTTCCTGTGATTCATGCTATAACCAGGATTAGCTGAAGCCAGCGGCATATGTAGTGTATACAACACATTCCTCCCCTAATCTTCTGTAAATAATTGCCAGTCTCAGAAATCCGACGCCCATTGTTCCTAAACGCAGATGCTCACTGAACAATGTGCACGAACGCAACGTCGGAAGCTTTATATGTCCTTAGTTGTAAGGATCCTTCTGAATGCACTGGCTACAGAATACCACACTTCTTATGAAGGCTTTTCATATTTCAAAATAGCGTCGCACGTTAGCAGGCGGTTTACAAAACATCGATCGTACAAAAATAAAGTCACTTCATGGATGTAAATAAGATAGCAATATGTGACTGAAAGATGATCCTTGAGTATGTTCGGCGAAACCGGACTAGGCAGCGGGTGACTTGTGACCCCTGTCATGGAAACGGACGCATAATTTTCGGCTATTTCCGACCCTCCAACTTTCGCTTGAGTTCGAAACTACATCGTCACTACAGCCGTCCTCAGCGTGAAATGGCGTCGACGGAAAGTGTGCAGCAACCGAATTCTCAACTAAAATCCTATACCCGCTGACATCGTCAATGCGGGGTGGACTGACGATGTCAGCGCGATTGGTGACGAGACGTTTCCACTCCAACCGCCAAGCTCGGCGAACGAACCAACAACCAAGCTGTGTACCCAGGCTACCTATATTCCACAACACTGACAACAGCAAAACTTCCCCTCTGAATGTTGCGGGTTTGGAAAGAAGTGTGTACTAAGGGCAAGCAAACCCCGGTTTACTTACAGGATGATCCCTTTCGAACAATTAGCAGACCTTTTATGCTACCCACAGGTCAAAGGCAGAATACATGTGGTGCGATTTAAAATGTATTGAAGCCTTCCAGTTAGAACCTCCTTACGGGTTTGTCCAGTTTGCTAAAAAGCGAAATGACCAATACAGAAGGGAATGCAGAATGAACAAAAGTCACGATATCTACTAAGTCTTTTGTATGTATTCTATTCACAGCAACAAATGAGGGGGAATGGAGCGGGAAACGGAGCCACATTTTCCAGAAAAGGGGAAAAATCGTAATAATAAAGCTTACCCTGGACATGTGTCTGACGCCTCGTACGGTGGCAGATCCACGAGCTCTCCGCTGCGTTTAAAAAGAACCAAAATTGTTGATTGTCTGTACACTTTGGTTTCCTAATCGAATGTACCGTGGAAAAAAAGTCAAGCTAAATTCGGCGAGAAATTGATAACGTTTGTTAGTTTAAGTTATTAATCTAATCAACACTCAAACTAAGTGAAACTTACTTTAGAGTTCTCATCCTCTTGTTCCCTCTGAAACACCAAAAATGGAAAGTAACAATTAAGACAATCTGGAATGCATAAAAAAACAGATAGTTTCATGGAAAACTATTATCTGCTGATATTGAATAGGCTATAGTTATTGCAAGTTTATTTTATCATTCCCACTACTGAGTCTAATTCCCGATCGTAGGATGATGACGAAGATAGGGGTCGGTTCTGAAGGGACCATGTTTCGCATCCAAGATATCACCTCCTCAACGTCGGTATTGATATGAATCAGGTCATTGAAATTCACGAGGGAATGAAGATAACCCATAAACACACCGAGTTCACAAAGATAAGTGGTGTGGATACAAACATCCAATTAACATTCCATTAATTGGTAGAATCCAAGATGTTACATGGTATATAGGTGCAAATTGTGTCTACCGGGAGGCGGATAACACAAAATGAGATGACCAAATGGAACCGAATCTGATAAATTTTTTTGATAAATCCGGATGAGCATTTTTTGCGCATACGGGCGAGAAAGATTGTGAGAGCGGAGTAGATTAGAGAATGAATGACGTCTTGAAAGGCGTCTAGTAGAACAACAAACGAAGTCGTCAGCCTAACTTAAAAAATAAACTAGGTAAATCTCTACAGTGACATTTCCGCGAATAGTGAGCACTTCAACCGGCTCACTGACTCAATTTTCAGTGAGCAATTTTGCGCTCTTTGTCGGTCTCATCCATTTGGTTCCCCTAATAGACCTGCGATCAAAACTGAGCATTTCCGGCCACGGATAATTTCTTTCTTGCGGTTTACACAGACGAAGAAAATGACAGATGACGTAAAGTCGAGAGAACTTTAAACTCAGCAAAGTATTGTCTAACAAATCCCCGTGAAACTTCACTCACCCAGGACCGTAGTTACAGATAAATATATGGTGCCATGGTTGAGAAGGGCATTCGGCGTAACCGCAGCCTATATGGGTAGTTTCGTTCCACACAGCCTGAAACATTAAGGTACGTATATCCGAAAACTTGCGAAGAAAAATACGAATCTTTCCACACACACACACACGCTGAAAACTGTAGAAACCCTTTTGAAATACAACAAAATAAATATTTTTTCTGTTTAAAGCAGATTACTCTGGTTACGGATGAAAACCAGATTCACGTACCTGAGTGTAATGTCCACACATACCCTTACACTCTCTTGTCGCATAATTGTAGTCTTGGTATTCCACGAACCATTCATCGTAAGCCCTAAAAGTGATGGACATAGATTGCGAAGCCGTTTCATCCCGAAAAGAAAACTAAGATACATAAAGAGTGTACATAATACTGCGTAATTGGTATATAACTAATAAGCACTTGACGACAATATTGTATGATATCCCTCAAAATCACGACAATCTGGGTCGGATGAAGGATTTACTGGCCACGCTGTCTTCATCTTAGAACAGAGAACGCCAAGAAAACTCCTTTCGCAACGTCACGTCATACAAACACGCATTTGACAAACATCTATGTTCTACACGGAAGTCCGCTTGTGTTTTTTATCGTAAAAGATCGTTTAGTTGGAGTGAAGAGAAGTCACACGAGAGTTTATAGCACGGCCAATAGAGCAGAAGAGGGAACCAGCTATCAGATATCAACCACGGTCGGATAATTTTCGCCCATACTTTTTAGAAAGCCATGGAAAAGCAACGGTGGCACACGTTGCTTCTCTTGGAATGTGCATCAAATTTGCGATTCACCTGCTCGTAATGACCATTCGTGTAGTCTTTGAAAGCAGCTGTTTGGTACAGAGTAAAACAGCTAAGGTGAGTTCGGACAGAATATTTCGTGGCTCTTTGGGACCAGGCGCAGAAGCACATAAAGGTAGGTGAATATGATCACATTCACTCAAAGAATGCGTTCTAAAATCCCAATGAGAGAAAGCTGATCGAACTAAAAGCCTTTGCCAATGAGAGCACGTTGTCATATGGAGTGGAAGTAGATGGGCAAGAACACTATGAATGTTTTGGTATTAACTGTCGATTCAGTCAGTATTGCGGAAACAACAAAAGTCTGTTTGGTCCACTGAACAAAAATCTCAATGCTGCTTGCTGGTCGTTCAGTGTGGCCGGTGTGGACCTCTCAGACCATCATTGACATAGAATAGAATGAAGCAGCAATTCGGAGTCAAGAGACGTCTCTGAGGCTTGACGAAATCGCACATCTACGATGGATTTCGACCACTTCTGAATCCAAATATCAACGTATATTCTTCTTCACACGAGTATCGTTTCAACTGAAACTTTGGAGAACACAGCGTCAAACTTGGCAAACTCGTAATATATTGTTGAACAAATTAGTCATCGTGTGTAGAAATAGGACACGTACGCTTCGGGCGAATTGAAGCGGAATAAAGTCAGGTAATTCAGTGAATAATTCTAACCAGATTTAGAAAATGAAGATGAAATTTGCTATAAATTATTTGTGTTAATTTCAGTTGTGAAGTAGACATTTGCATTGAGACGATGAAATTAGCAAATACGTTTGTCGAACACCACCATGAGTCATAAAATTTCTAGTAATGAATTTAGAGAATGAAAGTGGCTCACCCCCATAAGCTATTGCACCCAATTACAGGTTCAAGTCATCGGGATTTTTGATTACTTGGCAATGACTAACAGACTTTGGCCCTTGTATGCCCGAAACTGAACAAAGCCTATATTGTCATTCGATAGACTGTTGGAATGCATAGGAAAATTGAAACTGCATCCTACTTAAACAGTCCAGCTGTTGTTAATTATACTGAGGTTAATCATACCTATTCACCATCCCCTCTGTGTCCAGGACGGGTTCACAATTTACCCAACATGGAAGGGCATTCACTACTGTTGTAGCAGAAAATTTAACCAATCTTAGCTAGCCGGTTTGAGTGAAGTCTACTTATTAGTAATATCAAGAATCAATATGTGGACCGTAATCTCCACTTACGTCTTCAAATCGTATCCTATCGCTCAATTTTGGCCGACCACACTGAACTTGCTGGTCTTGCGATTCTTGCGGTTGTCGTGCTCTGGTCTGCACTTGTTTGCCCACTTTTGCGCCTTCCTCGCCAACCCTTTATCCCATTTCTGAATTGGGAATTAATTTTCATATCTGTAACACTAAACGAATAGACCTACCACTAAAGGCATATATTTGGCACATGGATGGCCAGGAATCTCGCCTTTTTGCACTCTCAGTCTTCCATCATTGTGCAGATCAACAAACTGCATTAGGTCTGGTGTTTCCGAGGAAACAAAGCAGTAAAACACAGCGGTCACGTAGAATAAAATGAAGTTGATGTACATTTTTGTGGAGTCCTGGAACTGGTGTTCTGACTGTTACTTATATTCAGTATGAAAACAGTCAACGTTGGTAAGTAATCTTTAAAAAACAATCAGTTCTACTAATACCATATCGACAATCGTTGAGCATAAGTACAGCTGAACAATGACAGGTGGTCTCATCAGGGAGAAAGCAAGTTTTCCCGTTAGTGTGGAAATAAATCTTTTATGAACGTAGCCCACAAATAGTGGCTACATGTGATTTGTAGCTTATTTCCAGTACTTACAAAGGCCAGATATAAGCACGATTAACATTGTTTATCAATAAATTTTGGAATTCAAAAGATGCCAGAAATGTCAGTCACTTGTTCCATTGCGGGTGGTTTGTTTAAACGACCTTGAAATGAGCTGATCGGACTCCGAGAATAATGCTAAACAATCCTGTTAGACTGATTCAATAGTTTTTGTCGACGGGATAAAATGCAGTCGAGAGTGACAACTGTTTCGCTTATCCAGCCATACAGCGTGACAGCGCATGCGTATTGATTTCCTCAGATAAGTATCCATTCGCCCGGCTGATGTGGCTTTCAAAGTAGTCCCAAGCGATCAAAAATCTATCAAGAAAGTTAAGTGAGCCGTCACTGTATCCTCAATAATTGCGCTGAGCAACCTATGACAGATGAATCGGATCCTTAACTGAACGTTACTCTAATTGAAATCGCTTGTTTTCGCCTTATCGTTTCGGGTGCATTACCTTCTCTTTCGGTAGCTTGGTGTAGGCGGACGCCTTCGTGCCTGATGAATTTCAGTCTTCTGTAGTAAGATGCTGTCTTCAGTATTCGGTCCCAATCCCCTCTGTTTATAAGCCTTCCGGTGTGGTTGTCGATATGCACGTCACATCCGCACCTAGTGCGTGATCTTTGCAAATCTTGTAAAGCCTATTTGCCAGACACCTGACAAAAACTCGTGTGTACACTATATCCACGAGGCTATGGGAATGCTTGCTGTTGGGACCATGTTGGTTTTTACTCCGCCCAACTTGTTTACGAACTAATACAACCTCAAGAGGCCAGGTGTTGTTGACCTCTTCTTCTGTATTGAAGAGAAGTATCTTGATCATAGTGTGAAAATCAGGAATGCAAATCTGTCAATGACGTAGCGTGGACAAAACTGTAGATGTTTTGTCATTGGTTTCGAAACGGTCGGATGAATTCTACTGGATCTCTTTATCTACAGATGGAAATACTACTTAATATTATGCCAGGAAAATAGCCCCTTTAGGTTCACTAGGGTAATGCGTAAATTAATACTTGACTGGATACAAACACTACAAATCCAGTCAAGTGAATCGAATCGCCAGTATTTTAGAAAAAAAATGAAATGTTTTTGAGCACTCTCGACCAGTCGTTGACTTTACATTTGGGACGGAATCCGTGTACTGGAGAATGCCATGAAGGCCGTAGACATAGTTTCGTTTCCGGATGCGCTATAGCGGTGCATTCAGACAGGGCGCAATCGCAGCATACTTTGAGCCATCCATGTCAAACAAACAACGTAGTAGAAAGGGCGTTCATCTTTATCAGTTTGTAAGTTTGACAAATAGGAGTCCATGTTTTTGAGGAATACGCTAATTTCAAAACAATTTGGTTTTCACGAGAGACTCAACTGAATCTCTATAATATGTTTTTCTACAAGTGAATGTGCTGCACACAGACCGCCTCGTGATTCAGTTGGCACAATATTCGAGATATCGTTGCTCTCAGAATTTCCTAATATGTAAAATTCTCATCGGTTATTCTTCGCAATATTGGTGTTGTTTGATTCTGTGTTGATGCGAAAGGACATTCATGGATTACGTGGCCACAAGTTGCCGATTCCAGGCACTGAAAAATTCACTCTTTTGATACAAGCAATAGTTGACTGGCGGTGATGTGGTGTGCGCCCTCATATCCTCAGGTATTCGTGTATTTTGCGTTACCACATCCCATTAAGGACTGAGGTCATGGCGTCATGGAAATTTTCGCATTCATCTCTTGTTCACTCTTCCAGCACAGTATTCAACTAACTGGTTATTCGCTCGAATACATGTGCCTCATTCCGAAGCCAGCTAAAATGACGTTTGGGAGGCATTTCAAGTTGCTTTTTTGTAAGAGTTTGGGGCGCGCCTACTTGCTTATGTAATCTTGAATAAAATCTGAATTGCGGCTTGTAATTTTGATTCTTGTTGCAAAGGATCAGTTGCGATTGGGTGCTCTTAAGTCCCGTCATTCTCGCGTGTGGTTTGGCGAGTACTCTGTTTGTATGCAGGCGTTCTAACAGTGCGTGCCACTGGAGATTCTATCGCAATCTATTATATGGAATACTACGTATTGGGAAAGATTTAGTGCGTTTTATTTCAAGTTGTTTTAACTTTTATAGACCCAAAAACAATCATTTTCCATTACTAACAGGCCTCACGCGTGAGCATGATTCTTTATTTATGGTACATTCCTGGTTTCTAATTAAGAGGCATGTCTGACGCATAAAAACGCAGCCGTATGGCTAGCTGAGGTTGCCTATTTGCAAAACAGTGTTCTGAAGCAGTTGTCAAATAAAAGCAGTTCCATAGAGACACCATCGATAAAGTCAATCTCTTTGGCCACTGTGGGGCTTATTCCTGAAGTGCCTCTCGTTGGACCACGAATTTCCTATTACCTGTCAGGTCCTAACCCGTTTCGCATGACTAGAATCCGGTCGTAAATGAAACCGGTAAGCAAACGCTTGTTAGCTGTGCTGTTCAAGCCTGAATACTTTTCGATCAAGCCTGCTCGACTACTTGAGGATTCGCTCAACTTTGAGAGTGCCAGAAATCGAGCAGTTTTTCATGCATCGCGGAGGGAGACCGGAATTTCTACCTTAAATCTGTACAGTCATTTGTTTTCTGTGCGATAAATGATGCTTTTCAGGTACTTCTAAAAGCTAAGACACCCATGTGGCTAAAATCATAGGAACATTATGCAGCATTATTGGGAATACAATCCCCACGCCCCGCCGTTTGTGCCCCCACATCCAAGTGGATCAAACCCTTCAGATAACGATTTTGACAGGTTTTGAAAAAATTACAGCTTGCTGCGCTGTTGATAAAACTAGGTTATTCAGGGCGTACAAAGGCCTCCTTCAAACCGATCGATCAGAATTCCTATGTGAGTTTCAACACCTGATTTAGTTCAGTTTCAGAAATCTGGGAGGAGATAATACAGGTCTTCCGATTCGGAGCGATGCACGACCGTTCCCACCGTGTTTACTTTGTTAATGCATGTTCAAAAGTGCCCAGTGCCGCTACATATCTTAATTCTGGAGCAACCTACGTTGCCACAAGCTCCGCCTCGCAAAGTCAACTTTCCCAGTGTCCAACAGAAATACTTCCAAGATATTCTCTTCACGCGAGGTGGATGGTCCCGAATGGATCATCGTTTGGTACGAATGATGGTTTGTGTCGCCTTGAGGAAAACCACATAGCTGTCAAGAGAAACAAAAACGTGTGAGTCCAGGCGTCAGCAGAGTGAAGTATTCGGGAAGTATGGCGAAAAGGGGCTACTCAACAGGGCGTGAGGAGCAAATCTACGGGGTCAGTGGATCCCATGATTTCGTCCCTACTAGAGTAGGGGAGGAGACTTCCAGGAGAGAATCAGAAAACGGTCAAGCCCATTCGTTCACGAATGCTTTCGAATCGCGGAAAGCAATCACACGGATACATGCGAAAGCTTAATACTAAACTATGGATGAAGCACTGAATAGGTCGCTCGCTAACTTTATTAGGAGTCTCAGAGCACTGGGAAACGTTTTCGGACCGGAACCGCAAAGTCTAAATGCATGCTAATTGTGTTGAAGTATCATATCTTCAGTTTGCGAAACTGACCATCGGAAATGGGATTGAAACAAGTGAACCAAATGTCCTGTCTTACAGAAAGAAACCACTGGACGACATTCCATTGTTGGAAGAATTTCAGTCAGTTTGCGAACGCACAACTTAAAATGACGTCTCCTTGCTGAAATGTCGAACCATCGTGAGCAAGGACTACAGAACAGATTCGTTTGCCAATTCCTTCTACTATGAGAATGTGCGACTTTTCACAGAGGTGCGCATTTTTCATCCGATATTTTACCGAAGCCTGGTCTACGCAACATCAAGCCCCATGCCAGACTGTCGAATCCCGGGACAACAGGACAAGTCTAATTATCACATCCTTTTAAAGGTGCCGGCAAATTCTGGCTTATAGCCTGTCAAATCAATGGACGTAGGCAGTTTGGATAGAGTCGTTTCAGAGAAACAGTTGGGATTTCGACGTTGAGCAAACAACACTGATTCGGTTTTCTCACGTGAAATGTTGCAAACGTAACCGACCGCTATTTGTTGGGGTTGACAACGAAATACTGTGAATTGGTGTTCCACAGAAAAGCCACCAAACAAACTGTCAAGCATCACAAAAGAAGGATTCAGCTGGGTTCCAAGTGAATCTCTCAAAGAACCAAATTTGTTTGGAACTCAGTGTATTTCATTAATTATGTCAAATATACCCTTTCTTCGGTAGCGCCCAATGTCTGTAGACCTCAGCGTTATCATGCATTTGAAACTGTCTGCTGATTCGCCAATCTGTGTTATCTGCTGCTGACCCGCTCCAGTACCTAATGCCGGGAAAAAGACTCATAGAATGGAACACAACAGATATATTCCGAACAACCGAGTGTGAGAACGTGAGTGCATGCGAGTGCAAAAGTACAACGGTCTCAGGGTATTTATTGGGAGGACACTGTCTAACTTGGTCCAACGCTGACGCACACGTCTGGCTTTGGTACGAGGCTGTGACATGCTGCATTTTGTGGGGGCGTTGTTTGTCTGGTCAACAACTTGCGGAGCTGAGAGTCTTATTAGATTCCGGGCATTCAGTGGTTGCTCTCAGGAATGTGACCTCCCCGATAGAAACAACACTGCTTTATGACGTCGAATTTCTCCCAGCTATTTTTAATGTAATAGTTACAAATTCAAAGTACAGTTA